GGGTCAGCATTGTGAGGGGCGAGCAGACTGTAGCCAGGAAATGTTACGTTGCCTCATTAAAGGAAATGAAATTGAAGGAGGCAATGATCATTGAGGGCCTTGATGTTAGAGAAGAAGAGGAATTGATTCGGGAGGAACCAATAGAAGAATTAGTCGAAGTACCTATTTGCTCCTTTGACCTAATGAAGACGATTAAGATTGGCAGCTAGCTATGCCCTCAAGCCAAGGAAGACCTTATAGCCCTCCTTATTGAGCATAAAGATGTCTTTGCTTAGACTCATACCAACATGCAAGGCATCAATCCTTCGATTATTTCCCATTGCCTCAACACCGAGCCTCAATTCCGACCAGTCCGTTAGAAATAGCACATGTAACAACCTCATCGCTAAGGAAGTGGATAAATTGTTCAAGGCCAAGTTTATCCAAAATGTGGATTATCCCAAGTGGTTATCCAATGTGTCTTGGTTTGCAAGAATAATGGCAAATGGAGACTCTGCGTTAACTATTCCGACCTCAACCAGGCATGTCCAAAGGACAACTATCCACTTCCCAAAATATACCTGCTGGTTGATGCAATGGAAGGCCATCAAATGCTTAGTTTTATGGATGCTTTCTTGGGCTAGAACCAAATCCTTATGCACCTTGCAGACTAGGAACACACTTCTTTCATCACCTACTGGGGGACTTACCATTATAGTGTGATACCATTCGGCCTGAAGAACGCAAGGGCCACTTACCAATAGCTGGTTTGTGCCATGTTCAAAACTCAAATAGGTAGGAATATGGAGGTTTACGTCGACAATATGCTCGTAAAAACCAAGCTTGCTTCAGATCACTTATCAAACCTGCGAGAGACTTTCAAACCTTGTGCAAATACCAAATGAAGCTTAACCCAAAGAAGTGTGCCTTTGGCGTTGGGTCTGGAAAATTCTTGGGCGTCATGGTTAGCCATAGAGGAATTGAGGCCAACCTAGAGAAGGTCACCTTAATAGAAATGCGGCCACTTAGAATGGTAAAGGAGGTTTAATGGCTTACTGGTAGAGTAGTCGCCCTCAATCGGTTCATTTCGAGGGCAACCGACAAGTGTCTCTCATCTTCAAAATGCTCAAAAAAGCTTTTACTTGGACCGCCAAACTCGTCCAGGAATTCCAACAACTAAAACAGTGCATGGCTAACCTACCTCTCCTCTCTCAAGCAATCGTAAGAGAGCCACTCTTTCGTTACTTAGCTATTTCTAACACTCGCGGTTAGTGCCACCCTTATCCACGAAGAAGATTCAGTCCAACACCGGCTTACTACATTAGTCGAGCACTTAGGGGGGGAGAACAAAACTATCCCTTGTTGGAAAAGATTGCATTATCTTTGGTCATCGCCTCCAGATGGCTCCGACCATATTTTCAAGCCCACTCCATCCTGGTTCTCACGGATCAACCTTTGAAGCACTTTATCCGACGAACCTCATTCTTGAGGAGGTTGACCCGCACTCTTGGACTCTAAGGGTGTGCTTGATTTGGGGGATAAGGAGGGTAGGAAGAGACTATTTACTGTTGGGATTGTAATCCGGAGGAAGTTTTTTATCCGACGTTTATTTTTTTTTTTTAATCCGTCAAACATGGAGTCCGACCAGACGTCATATTCCCCATATGTGGAATTATAGAGTCCGGGGGGTGTGAGACAATTTTCATTGGACTGTTGGAATTAGGTGGTGAAATGACTATTTTGACCATTTACTATTTACTTATGTATCATATTTAGTAAAATTCAATAAAATTTAAATGTCTTAATTTAAAAATAAAATAATTTTATTTAACTTTTTATTAATGTTTTATTTATTTAATTTTTAAAATAATTTTTTATAGATATCTTATTGATGTTTTATTTTAAAATTTTGTTTATATTTTATTTAATTTCATTATTTAAGTTTTAATAGATGTTTTATTTTATTTCATTATTTAATTATTATTATTTAAAATAAATTCATTTAAAATTTTAATTAAAAAATAACATATATTTTTATTGATATTTAATTTTTTAAAAATAAATTTTTTAATTGTGCAAAAAATAAAATAAAATAAATTTTTATTTAATCTAACTAAAAATAATTAAAATATCAAAACTATGTTTAATATTGTTATTACTTAGTAAATAATTGAAAATGATAAAATAGTCATTTGAGTATAAAATAATCTAATCCAGACATCTAATTTCATAACTAAACAAACATAGGATAAAAATCAGTCTAACTAAATAGTCCAGAAATAATATATCATAATACTAATAGTTTGATAAATTACAATCTCTCATTATTTAGTCCGTCCAAACAAACACACTCATTATAAGATTAGCAATCTCAAATCACTTCTCCACAAACAAACGTACTGTACGTGGGGTTCATTGATTACTAATCTAACCTTCTCTCCTAAACCTCCAATCAAACAAGGCCCCAATATATTTCTTAGCAAACATGTCATGGGTGGACCCCGGCTTATAACACAATCCTATACCACAATCTACGCGGTCAAACAAACAAGCTTTTAAGGAAAATTTTAAGAGTATAAAAAGTTCCAAATATATAATGTACAAATATGACATATATATGCGAACATGTTCGCAACTACGTGTGCAACTATTTTGTTATCTCACATCCATGTATTATGTTTTTGGAGCCTTTTGTATGCTTAGCACTTTAAAAGGATTTTTTTTAGCGACAATGCTAGGTAGCTCAAATTTTGTGGTTTAAATTGCTTAAATCTGTCAAAACGACGTCGTTTTGATAAATTTTATTGACAGTCGTCCAATCAGCCACTCTACGAGATCACCCTAGAGGGTTTACTCTGGAGGATCCGCTCGCAGACAGCATTGCCATTTGCCAGAAAAGAAAAACGAAGAGGAATCGCAACTCAACTCAACTATACGTTCATTCAATTATCTCTATATATATCCGCACCCTCCTCCTCCTCCCCCTCTGCTTCCTCCGCCGCCGCCATGTCTTCCTCTGCCTCCTCCACCGCCTTCAGCGCCGCCGCATCTCCACCACCACCACCCTCACTCTCACCTCCGCCGAAAGAGTCATCAACAACGACGATCTTTTCAAACAGATCTTAATTCGACTTCCCGCCAAGCCTCTCTTCTCTTTCAAGCGTGTTTCAAAGAGACGGCTTTCTCTCATCTCCGATCGCTCTGTCCTTCGAGACTGGATTCCCCCAATTTCTCCTTCCTCCTTCTTCCTCCGACGCTACTCAACTCCTTCCTCTCGCTCTATCAATTTCAATCACATTTCGTTACTTCCTTCCAATTCAATTCGATCATTCGATTTCGTCAATGACCCCAACGGGGTCAAGATTTCCCTGTCCTGTAATGGGTTGTTCCTCTGTTCTTCCTTTTGCTTCACTTTAGATTACAGCGATACTCGTTACTACCTTCTCAACCCCCACGACCAAATACTTCTCCACCATCCCTAGGCCCACCAATGGGGATGACCGAAACTTCGTTGTCTCAATGAATTTGGCTTTTGATCCCTCTGTTTCATTTCACCACAAGCTAGTTGCTCTCCGTTCCAAAAGATTGTGCGGCCCTGATTTTCAAACCGCCATATATTCCTCCCAAACCCGAACTTGGACGTTTTCCGAGGTATCATATGCTTACTCAACGCGTGTAGTATTTGAAAATGGAGTCTTTCTTAACGGTAAGATTCATTGGCCTAGTTGTCAGTCCGTAAGATCAATCTATTATGATGTTAATCAAGATAGACTCTTCCCATTGCCAATTCAATCACATTTTGTTACTTCCTTCCAATTCAATTCGATCCTTCGATTTCGTCAATGACCCCAACGGGGTCAAGATTTCCCAGTCCTGTAATGGGTTGTTCCTCTGTTCTTCCTCTTGCTTCACTTTAGATTACAGCGATACTCGTTACTACGTCCTCAACCCCACCACCAAATACTTCTCCACCATCCCTAGGCCCACCAATGGGGTTGACCGAAACTTTGTTGTTTCAATGAATTTGGCTTTTGATCCCTCTGTTTCATTTCACTACAAGCTAGTTGCTCTCCGTTCCAAAAGATGGTGCGGCCCTGATTTTCAAACCGCCATATATTCCTCACAAACCCGAACTTGGACGTTTTCCGAGGTATCATATGCTTACTCAACGCGTGTAGTATTTGAAAATGGAGTCTTTCTTAACGGTAAGATTCATTGGCCTAGTTGTCAGTCCGTAAGATCAATCTATTATGATGTTAATCAAGATAGACTCTTCCCATTGCCAATGCCTCATCGTTTACTCACAAAGGACCTATTATATTTTGCGGAGTCTGGAGGTCGTCTACAGTTAATTGAGTTTATTAAAAATTGCTCTCGTCATTTTTATGTGTTCGAGTTGGAGACAGACTATTCCAAATGGTTTGTCCAGTACCGTGTTGACCTAAAATTGGCTGTATCGGCTTTTCCAGAGATGTATCGTGAACACGCTGATCACCCGTGTATGGGTTATACATTCAATGTACTTTGCTTCCTTGGTGGAGACGTTGAAGGGGATTCGTGTCTGGTCTAATACATACCTGGTAAAGTCATATCCTATAACTTAAAAGATAAGAGTTTTAGGAAGGTTTGCAATTTGAATCTGTCCCTTGGTGATATTGACTATGTACGAGTTCGTCCATGCATGGAGACCATATTTCTTGTTTGATTGTATTCTTTGCAAAATTGTTAGTGTCGTCTCCATTTTGTTGTTTTCATTTGTTTCATTTCTAGTATTCTCTTCCTTGTACTTTAAGAATGTTTTCCCCCTCTGTTGGTGTAGTAGTTTCGAACATTGTAAGTTTATTTATGCCTTTTGCAATGAAATGAATTATGTGTCATTTTGGATATGTTAAATTGATTTTATTCCTGTTGGATAAATTTATATATGGCTTTTGCAATGAAATGGTTTTGTAACATCAGCAATATTTTAGTTCTAATATGATTGATTTTATTTCACGTTTTAGCTTATTGAGTTTCTAAGTTAGAATGTAAATTAATACAAGACTTTGGCATGGTGATGAAATGATACATCTTTCAAGGCTGAGACCAATTAAACATCTACGTTAACTTTACTATTGGTGGGTGCCAAAATATTGATGAGTGAATGAAATATGTCTAGAAACATATCTGGGCAATAATCACAAAGAAGAAATAATGTCATAGTGAAGCGAAACAAGTTGAAGACTTATAATAGGGTTTAGGATGCTTTGTAATTCTCAGTCTTGAGTTTATCTTTGATAGTATGTTGGTCTAGTAATATTGTCTCCTTGTAGACGGTAATAGTTTGCCCATGGTATTATTCGTTTTTGCATGGAGACCGTTTTTGCTTTTTTGAGTTATTAGGGTGGTCTAGATTTCCTTTTTTGCTTTTTTGTTTTTTTGGTTTCTTATTTTGGTCAAGAATATTGTGAGTTTAGAAAGTCATGGTTGTAGGAAATTTGTATTTTCTTGTATACTGGTTTTTATATTGGTTTAGTATTCAATTTTAGGAGTATCATTTTTTACAGTAGTTAGGATTCCTTTCTTAGATTGCAATCCATTTACGTATTTGTAACCAAATCAAACCAAACCAAACCTTTAAGTCCCATCAAATAAGATTGGCTACATGAATCCTTTTTCTAAGGAGATTCATTTGGTTAATCAAAGGCCATTTACGTATTTATTTAAAATAATATCTTTTTTTGCTGGATTTTGAGTCTTTTGCGATTTGTATATTGGATGGGGCAATTCTTAGGAAGTTTGTAATGTCTTTAGAGTTTTATAGTAAAAGGGCCCCTTGCTGTAACAAGATTTTGGAATTGCAATGAAAGTTTTTCCTAGTTAAAGCATGACCGTAGAATTCTTCTACTCACTCGAGTACTGAACTCAAGCTGCCCCTATGGAGTAAGGCACTTTTCTCTTCTTTTATTTTTCTATTTGCTGAATTTTTGTTCATTCAAATCTGTCGAACAGACCTTAACCATCATAATCCAAACTTATCCATTATTTTGCAAGCCCTAACTAGTAGAGTGTGTATCACTCATTAAATGTAGAAAAGGCATGCAACTTTGATGGTGGTAGTGTCAGAGGGACTGCCAGCGTTAGGTAGTTGAGGGCATTAATACTCCTGGGTGTATATTACCTAGTTCTTAATTCTTTTTGCTTCCACGAGTTCTAGGACTCAACCAATATGTAGTAGCAATGCTGACTAATTTATGTCTTTCAATGTGGATTCCTTTATTTTTGGCAAAACTGGTGTCTATCAATGAAGGTCTCATTTTATGTGATTGAATTTCGCCTTATAGTAGATTTGGTTATCAAGTCAGATTAAAAGAGAAGAGTTGTATTGATTAGTAATCATTTCTGCTGGGAACAGATTTATGTCTCTTATTAGTTCTTCAAGAAATTGGTACTTACCAAAAAACAAAACAAAAAGAAATTGGTTTATGAAGCAATAAGAAACTACCATAGAGCAACCCATGTTTGAAACAGAATGCAATAAGAATTGATATCTCTTATTGGATTAAATTCTGGCCTCATCCAAACACCACAATGCCAATTACCTCTTTCTTCATTCTCATTGTTTCTTGGTCCTTAATTAAAGTGTGGTTGTGACTTGGTGTGACGGCATTGTGGAAAGTACTATCCGCCCCAAGCCTTGTGGTGCTGGTTTGAGTCACGGCCTTGGTAACTTGATGTAAGACTGTGCCTACCGATTGCCTCTCTGACACTGCTGCAAGCAGGAGCTTGTGCACTAAATCAGCAGCCCCATCACATGCAGCCTAAAGAAGCTGTTGGTATTGCAAGCATTAACTCTTTTGACATGTACTGTCTTCTCATTTTATTTGTAGAAATAGATTACATTATGGAAGTCTAAACTTTCAATTTTGATCAAGTGAAGTCTGAAACTGAAAATAAATGGGGAAACAAAATGAAGCACTAAATTAACAAATTTTCAATGTTAGAAACACATTTTTCTTTAGAATATCTTATTGTGAACTTGAAATCAAGACTCATAGAGAAACTTGTCATTGGTAAACAAAAACATCAGTTTGGTCAGTTTAGTTTTATTTTTCTCTGCGGTATATTTGTACTTTACCATTCTATAGGTTGTATTCCTTTTTTCTTTCCTTTTTGTCTTGTTGAAATTCATTTTATTGGTCAAAGCAATATGCATTACTGCTTATGAGCTACTGGTTAATGGCTTGAACATAGTTATTAATTTCATAACAGTTTTTTAAGTATTATTTTTTTATATGTGATGAAGAACCCCTGGTCCCACTTTCGGTGAGAACTGGGATAAAATCCTGGGTATGTGTGACCACCCATTAGCTTCATTAGCTTCACATATATGGCGAAGTAGGGACCCGAACCTAAAACCACTTGGTTGTATATTTGGGGGCTTACCAGTTGAGCTAGGCTTCAAGGGCGGTAATTCGATACCAGTTGGTGTATTGTTTTGTCATACAAATTATTGTTTTTAGGTATTGATGCATTTTGGCATATCATTTCAGATTTATCTCTATAAATAAAACATTACTATCAATAAAATATACTCATAAAAATAATACACCTGAATCATTTTTTTTTTTTATTTTACAAAAATTACTATTATTATAACTAAGCATTCTCAGAACATGCATCAAGTAAAGTAGATTTGTGAGCCTTCCAATTCTAGTTGTGTGGATCAGCTGGAAACTGTGAGTGGTGCATCCTCCTGTCCCAAAGGAGCCTCTTTGGCTATCAAATGGGAATGTATTCAACTTTCATAGCATTTTCTAGTTGCCTTTTGCATAAAATTTGAAATGGAATTCACTTAGTAGCTAGTTGTTCGTCAAGGGTTTATTTCAATGGCATTGCACTTTTCATTCAAATTGGAATAGTCAATATTTATTATGGTGTGGTTAGATATCTGGTTAGCAGCCTACATATTATGTGTTGCTTGAGATATGTCACATTAAAGAGCCAGATTGATTATCTGGTTGACTAATGTTGTGTTTAATTTTGATGAATTTTAAGAGATTTATAAAGAGCCAGATTGATTAGCTATAAATGCATCACACTCTTATATTACTCTCCACTTTGGAAAAGGTATGTGAGAATTAACTACGGATTATTTTGAGCTTTTTGCATGCATGCTCTTTGAAACTTATTACTTTCTACACTAACTTTAGTATCATTTGCCACAAAGTGGGTTTGGCCCCTGGGGAGGCTATTAAATTAGGATATACAATGAGAAAGGCCCATAATTTTTATATCGTTATGTGTTTCACTTTACATGGTTAATGAAAAATATTAGATGTAAGTAATATGAGTAGTTGAAAGGCCCATTTAGCAATTCTTTAAACACGAGCATTGATTACCTTGCATCAAAAATGAAAAGGCATTGATTACTTCTTTTTTTCAACCAAAAATTTTAATTACTAACCAGTGCAAAGAAACAAACTCATTAAAATCCTTTTCATACTACCAAAAATTAAAAAAAAAAGTCATTTTTTTTAATTTCTTATTCAAGATGGCCAATAGTTCCAATTTACCATTCTTTCCACTCTCCTATTTCTTTTCAGTCTCTCTATGATTATTTGTTCTTTTAATTTTGCTATTTTCTGTAATTTATGTGTAAACAAAAAAATTAAATAAAGTGAAAAATAAAATTATTTTATTTTATATGAATTTCACAATGGATGAGTAAATTTCACATTATTCTAAGAAAATTTCAAAGTTGAGTAGTGTTATTATTAGACACTAGTTCCACCCGTGATAATAATAAGCGTAAATTACACTCACTTTTCCTAAGGTTTCTGACAATTATAAGGACTTCCCATGTAGTTTCAATAATTATGCTAACCTCCTTTACTTTCAAAACTATTATTAAGATTCCCTCAATCTGTTACAATTCGCACAAATGACATTAGTTAAATGTGAAAATGACCATATTACCCTTTGATTTAAACGTGAAAAGATGAAAATATCCATACACTAACTCATTCATTATCAACATGGGTAAATTACACTTACCTCCCATAAGGTTTTGCGTATATATTTTCAATGACCTATATAGTGCTAAATAGGAGTTTTATTTAATATTGCATGAAATTTAAGAATTTTATTAAATAATGCTAAAATCTGTATGGGTCTTTGATAATATATATGCAAAACCTCAGAGAAGGTGAGTGAAATTTATCATTTGAATAAATAAGGTAACTAATGGGAAATTTCGTCATTTTTAGTATTATATCCTATGACATCAGTATGATATCAGCAATTTTTGTTAAATAGCCTAACAGTGGGGGAATCTTGATAATAGTTTCAAAGGTAAAAAATGTTATTGTAATTATTGAAACCAGAGTAATTGTCAGAAATCTCATGGGAGGTAAGTGTAATTACCTTGATAATAATAATAAAATATATATATTTTTTTTTATTTATATCACACATTTAGATAAATAAAAAGGAGAGAGAGAGAGAGAGAGAGATTGATTTTTGTAGTTAAAAACTTCATCTTTTTGCAATTATTTTTAAAGTTTCCTCTTGTTGCTATCAATTTTGGAT